GGCTATGGAGATAGTTGGCTACAAGGAGAGCAAAGGGGGCGTGCTCTTAAGGGTAAGGCGGCCATTTCTACTTGGAGCAAGTTGAAGAAGAGGATGAGGGATCGTTTTATTCCTCACAATTACAAGCAAAGTCAATATGTGAAGTGGAGCACTTTGCAAAAAAAATGGAGAATCGGCTGAGGACTACATCAAGGAGTTTGACAGACTTGCTATCGTGTGTGAAGTCACGGAGAATGAAGAACTCAAGATGGGACGTTTCGTGGCTGGTTTGGATCAAGAGTTGCAAGACAAACTTGAAGGTTACACCAATTTAACCTTTGCTGAAGCTTGCAAACTTGTGATCAAGTTTGATTCAAAAAGGAAGAAGAAGAAGCCGATTGTCACCCCTCAAGTGGCACGAAAACCAACCTTTCCTATCAAGGATTGTTCTTCTTTTGTCAAAGCCAACGATCCACCTAAGAAGGACAAGAAAGATTTCAAAATAAGTGACATTGTTTGTTACAAGTGCGGAGGAAGGGGTCATTTTAAGAAGGATTGTCAAAATTCAAGAGCTTTGACCATGCAAGAGGTAAAGCTTATTGCTAACCAAACTATCAATTGGGAGGATTTCGAGGTTGAAGAAGTGGAGGACGTGATTTCTACTGAAGGGGACGAGGAGGAAGAGCAATGTTTCGCCGAAGAAGAGACCAAAACAAGTCTGGTTGTGAGAAGGGCGTTGCAAGCTCACGTTGAGGAACCCTTAGCACCACAAAGGCAACATATTTTCATCACCAAGTGCAAGATTAAAGGCGAGGTATGTGATTTAATTGTTGATGGTGGTAGTGAGGCAAACACAGTTTCCAAAACCTTGATAACTAGGCTTGGTCTTACAACTACAAATCACCCACATCCTTATAAGTGGAGTTGGTTGGACTCTAGTTCTAGCACGGGGGTTAGGAAACAATGCATGATTAGTTTTTCTATTGGGTCTTATCATGATACTCAACTGTGTGATGTTGTGTCTATGGATGCTTGTCATATTTTGCTTGGTAGACCTTGGCAAACTACTCGAAAATCTCAACATGATGGGTACCATAACACTTACACTATAACTCACCAAGGAAAACAAAAAAAGTTGCACCCCTTACCACCCCCACGGTTTTCACAAAATCCTAAACAATCAAAGGAGGTGTCATTGCTTACCCTTAAGGAATTTGAAAGGGAAATTGATGGTAAGGATGAATTATACTTGTTGTACTCTAAAGAGGTCCACGAAAATTTTGTGAGTCAAAACCCCAAATTGGCTCAATTGATTAAGGATTTTGAGGATGTTTTTCTTGATGAGTTACCTAAAGGGTTACCACCTTTGAGGGGAATTGAACATCAAATTGACCTCATTCCCGGTGCTCCTTTACCTAACAAACCTGCCTATAGGTGTAATCCCTTGGAAACTAAGGAATTGCAACGTCAAATTGAGGAGTTGATGAGTATGGGGTATGTACGTGAGTCTATGAGTCCGTGTGTTGTTCCTGCTCTTTTGGTCCCTAAAAAGGATGGTACATGGCGTATGTGTATTGATAGTAGGGCTGTTAACAATATTACTATCAAGTACAGGTTTCCAATTCCAAGGCTAGATGACATGCTTGATGAACTGAGTGGCTCGAAGGTGTTTTCAAAAGTTGATTTGAGAAGTGGTTATCATCAAATTCGGATGAGAGAAGGAGATGAATGGAAGACCGCTTTCAAAACCAAGCACGGTTTGTATGAGTGGCTCGTGATGCCATTTGGACTCACCAACGCACCTAGCACTTTCATGAGGTTGATGAACGAGGTGTTGCGGCCTTTCCTTGGCAAGTTCGTGGTGGTGTAATTTGATGATATCCTTACCTATAGCAAAAGTGGGGACGAACATTTGATAGATTTATTTAAAGTTTTCACTGTTTTGAGAGAACAAAAATTGTATGGAAAACTTGAAAAATGTAATTTTATGCTATATGAGATCACTTTTCTTGGTTACATTATTTCAGGTGAAGGTGTGAAAGTTGATCCTAGCAAGGTTGAGGCTATTCAATCATGGCCTAGCCCAAAGACACTCACGGAGGTCCGTTCTTTCCATGGATTAGCTTCCTTTTATAGGAGGTTCATTTGCAATTTTAGCACTCTCATAGCCCCTATCACCGAGTGCACAAAGAAGGGCTCATTTGAGTGGACTCCTCAAGCTCAAAAGGCGTTTGAAGTAATCAAAGAGAAAATGTGCAATACACCTATCCTAGCACTTCCAGATTTTTCAAAACCATTTGAAGTTAAGTTTGATGCAAGTGGAAAGGGGATTGGTGTCGTGTTGATTCAAGAAGGGCGTCCTATTGCCTACTTTAGTGAGAAATTGAGGCAAGGCAAGCTGAATTATTCCACCTATGACAAGGAGTTCTATGCAATGGTGCGAGCTTTGGATCATTGGTCACATTACTTGAGACCACAACCATTCATACTTCATTCTGACCATGAATCTTTGAGGTTCATCCATGGCCAAAAGAAGTTGAGTTCGAGGCATGCAAAGTGGGTGGAATTCTTGCAAACATTTAACTTTTCATCCAAGTACAAGAATGGAAAGGCGAATGTTGTTGCGGATGCCTTATCTCGAAGGCATACTTTACTTGGAGTCGTTGAGGCTAAAGTCCTTGGGTTCGAATTGATCAAAGAATACTACAAGGAAGATGATGATTTCAAGGTCATTTTGGAGAAATGCGTGAATGGAATTTATGATTTATTTTCCTTACAAAATGATTTTCTTTTTAAGGGAAATAGGTTATGCATTCCTAAATGTCCAATTCGAAGCTTGTTGATTCATGAAGCGCATGGAGGAGGTCTAGCAGGCCATTTCGGAGTTCAAAAGACTATGGAGCTTCTTCAAGCTCACTTTTATTGGCCTAACATGCTATTTATTGTTCACCATGTTGTAGCTCGTTGCTCTACTTGTCAAAGGGCAAATATGGTGTTTCACAAGGGTCTTTACAAGCCATTTCCAATTCCGGAGAGACCTTGGGAAGACATAAGCATGGATTTCATTGTGGCTTTACCTAGAACTCAAAGAGGTAAGGACTCAATCATGGTGGTGGTTGATCGCTTTTCAAAGATGGCTCACTTTGTCCCTTGTCATAAAACCGAGGATGCTATGAAGGTGGCGAAATTGTATTTTGATGAGATTGTTCGTTTCCATGGAGTCCCACGCACCATTGTTTCAGATCGAGATACAAAGTTCCTAAGTCATTTTTGGAAGTCTTTGTGGCGTCTTATGGGAACCAAGTTGCTGTTTTCTACCTCACATCACCCCCAAACCGATGGCCAAACCGAGGTGGTGAATAGGGTGCTAGGTTCTTTGCTTAGGACCTTGGTTAGTAAGAGCACCAAAGATTGGGATGTCAAGCTCGCTCATGCCGAGTTTGCTTACAATAGAACTCCTAGTGCTACTACAAAGTATTCTCCTTTTGAAGTAGTCTATGGTTCTAATCCCTAATTTCCAATTGATCTCATAGCTTTGCCTCAAGACAAGTTCGTGCATGGAGGTGCCAAGGAACAAGCCGAGTTCATGGTCAAAATCCACAAAGAAGTGAGGAAGAACATCGAGAAGGCTAATGAAATCTATAAGAAGCAAGCCAACAAGAGAGTCAAAAACGTGAGAAGCTTTGAAGTTGGTGACTTAGTGTGGATCTACATGAGGAAGGAAAGGTTTCCCAATCAAAGGAAGAACAAGCTCATGCCACGAGCCGAGGGTCTATTTGAGATAGTGGAAAAGATCAATGACAATGCCTACAAGGTAGATTTGGGAGGAAAGTATGGTGTCTCAAGAACATTCAATGTGGGGGATCTAGCACCGTACTATAATGATGAAGAATTGAGGGCAATTCCCTTTGAAGAAGGGGAGGATGACCAAAGTGGTCAAGGTTCGAATATTCCAGTCCAAGAGTCGAACGTTAGGGAATTGATTTTGTCCAAGTCTTTCTTCGATGCTACTCCTATGGATTTTGGCGTGCACGGTCCATATAATTCCTCAAATGGTTGCACCGTATTGAGCGTGACTAATTACCTCAATAATGGGGGAATGTAGGCTGATTTAATGCATACTTTAAGGAGAGTTTCAAGCTGGTTTTTATTCACATTTAAGTGTTATCATTGGGGGGGGTTTTTTTTGCTGGTTTAATTTCGTAATAAAGGAGCTTGAATGAAGGCTTAATTGGGAGGTTACAAAGGCGCATTTCAAGGCTACTTTGGAGGACGAATTTGGGCAGCATTTTGGAGTCAATTTGCTGAACGTTTTGGGAGTTATTCTTCCCTTATTTTAAGCTATTCTTCCCTTGTTTTAAGCTCCCTTAATTAGAGAAATAATTAGTTGTAATGGGGATTATTTTGGACGGTTATGAGCCACTTAATCTACCCTTATTTTCAGCTTTGTTATTTCTGATTTATTGTTTATTTTAGCTAAGTGTAGTGGCAATTAAATGATGTACTAAAAGCTATAAATAGCATGCTAATGATCAATGAAAGGCATTCAGAAAATTTGCCAAAACACACGAGTGTATGATCTAAATTTGGCTTGTGCTAGTCAGGTTTATTTTCCAAATTTGAGAGTTACCTCAATTTGAAGAGTTTGTGTTTTAGTGAGAGTTCCTAAGACTTAAACTGGTAGTTGTCGAATAGGTGAGAGTTCCCTAATCACTACTACACCTAAACAAGTGAGTGAGTGTTCCTCATTGTTATATCCTCAAGTTAAGGGTGAGAGTTCCCCTAAACCTTCTTAATTACTCCACATTGATACTTCTAAATTAAACTAAACACAACACGCATTCTAGACCATTTGTAAACAAGTTTCTCACCTTGCTTACACATCAGTTTCTTACTCAGTTATGATCAATGGTTACCCTTCTGCTCCTTTTCAAGCAAGAAAAGGATTAAGGCAAGGTGATCCTATGTCTCCTTTTCTTTTTGCTTTATGTATGGAATATCTGTCTAGTTGTCTGTAGGATATGACTAAGGATCCAAATTTTAACTTTCATCCTAGGTGTGAAAAACTTGGGATTACTCATTTCATGTTTGTAGATGATCTTCTCTTATTTGCTAGAGCTGATTTGGATTCTGTTAAGTTGCTTTTCATGGCTTTCCAGAAATTTTCTATGGCTTCAGGCTTATGTGCAAATCTGGATAAAAGTGATGCCTATTTTGGAGGTATATCAGATCAAGAGAGATGTGAGCTTCAGCAGGTCCTTGGGATGGCTAATGGTAATCTTCTATTTAGGTATCTTGGTGTGCCCCTTTCCTCAAAAAAACTCACTATTTCTGATTGCAGGCCTTTAATTGAAAGGGTCACAGGTAGAATTGACACTTGGGCTACTAAACACTTATCTTATGCTGGTATATTGCAATTAGTTAAGAGTGTCCTCTTTGGAATTCAAGATTTTTGGGCTCAGATCTTTGTGTTGCCAAAGAAAATTATCAGAGAAATGGAGTCCAGATTCAGATGTTTCCTTTGGTCTGGGAAAAGTAACCCCACAAAGAAAGCTTTAGTGGCTTGGAGATTTATGTGCTTACCTAAGACTTGTGGTGGCTGGAACATAAATTCTTTAGAAGATTGGAACAAAGTTGCTGTCACTAAGGTGCTTTGGGATCTGGCTAGTAAATCTGACAATCTTTGGGTAAAATGGGTTCACATCTACTATTTTGCTGGTAAGAATTTGTGGACTGCTCCTATTCCTAAAAAGGCTTCTTGGATTTTGAAAAAGATCCTTGCTTCTAGAGATATTGTGAACAACATAGTGGATGGTCAAATGTTACTGTAAATGGTAAAATGCAGATTAAGAAGCTCTACAGTATCATTAAGCCTCAGGGTCTCAAAGTTTCCTGGAAGAGAATCATTTGCAATAACCAAGCTTCTCCAAAAAGTATTTTTATCACCTGACTTGTTGTGTTGGGCACACTTGTTATTAAGGACAGACTTCTAGTCTGGCAAATTCATTGTGACCCTTATTGTTTCTTCTGTGCTGATGCAAATGAAACTGTGAACCATTTATTTTTTGACTGCAGTTACTCTAAAGTAATCAAGGCTTCAATGTTATACGCTCTTGGTTTCACTAGGTCTGTTCTTAGTTTTACTGATGAACTGCAATGGATTATAAAGTATTGTAGGAAGACTAATGTCAGAAGTAAGCTTATTGTGATGTGCTTCTCTGAGGCTGACTATAATATATGGATGTAGAGGAATGCTCTGATGTTTACAGGCAACTGCAAACCAACTTCTGAGTTGATTAGGGAGATTATTTTTCTTGTTGCTTGCAGATGTAATAGCTCAGATAGATATATGTTGTATTCGGTTTAGTTGTGTTGTCCTTAGTACCCTTCCTAGAAGGTGCCTGAGTCCTTGAGTTCAGTTAGTGTTTCTGGTTCTTCCTAGAACCCTTCCTAGAAGGTGGTAGGTTTGAACTGGAAACTGTTTTATTTTGGTGTTTGTTTGGCCTTGTTGGGCTCTGTGGTGGTTTGGCTGTTACAGCTTAGCTATTGTGTAAGTTGTAATCTTTCTCTTTGGTAATAAAATTTCTATTTACCAAAAAAAAAAGCTTTTTGAATCAAATAAAAGTTAAACACATTCACACAAAGCTTTTAGAGTCAAATGAAAGACAAATGCATTTAAAAAACTAATTCAATCTAATGAAAACACATTTAAACAAAGGTTTTTTAATCACATGAAAGTCAAACAAATTCAATCAAATCTTTTTTAATAAAAAAAAAGTAAAACACATTAAAACAAAGCTTTTTGAATCAAATGAAAGTCAAACATATTAAAACAAAGATTTTTGAATCAAATGAATCAAACACATTCAAACAAATCTTTTTGAATTAAATGAAAGTCAAACACAATCAAACAAAGCATTTTGAATCAAATGAAAGTCAAATGCATTCAACAAAGCTAACTGGATCAAAAGAAAGTCAAACACATTCAAACAAAGCTTTTTGAATCAAATAAAAGTGAAACACATTCAAACAAAGCTTTTTAAATCGAATGAAAGTCAAATGCATTCAACGAACTTATTGAATCAAGTGAAAGTCAAACCAATTCAAAAAAAGCTTTTTGAATCAAATGAAAGTCAAACAAACTCAAACAAATCTTTTTAAATCAAATGAAATTCAAACACATTCAAACAAGCTTTTTGAATCAAATTTAAGTCAAACACATTCAAAAACAGATTTTTAAATAAAATAAAAGTCAAACATATTCAAACAAAGCTTTTTAAATCAAATGAATCAAACACATTCAAACAAAGCTTTTTAAATCAAATGGAAGTTAAATAAATTTAAACAAAGCTTTTTTAATCGAATAAGAGACAAATGCATTCAACGAAACTAATTGAATCAAATGAAAGTCAAACACATTTGAACAAAGCTTTTTGAATTAAATAAAATTCGAACATATTTAAACAAAGAGCTTTCAATCAAATAAAAGTCAATCATATTCAAACAAATCTTTTTGAATCGAATGAAAGTAAAACGCATTCAAACAAAGCTTTTTGAATTGAATGAAAGTCAAACACATTCAAACAAAGCTTCTTGAATCAAATAAATCATAAAATTATTCAAACAAAGCTTTTTGAATCAAATGAAAGTTAAACATATTCAAACAAAGCTTTTTCAATCAAATGAAAGTTAAACACATTCAAACAAAGATTTTTGAATAAAATGAAAGTCAAACGCATTTAAACAAAGTTTTTTAAATTAAATGAATGTCAATCACATTCAAACAAACCTTTTTGTATCAAAACTTAAACACTTTCAATAAAATCTTCTTGAATTGAATGAAAGACATACACATTTAAACAAAGCATTTTAAATCAAATGAAAGTCAAACACATTCACACAAAAGCTTTTTGAATTAAATGAAAGTCAAAGAAAATCAAACAATGCTTTTCGAATCAAATTAAAGTGAAATGCGTTTAAAAAAGATAACTAAATCAAATGAAAATCAAACACATTAAAAAAAAGTTGTTTGATTCAAAGGAAAGCTAAACACATTCAAATAAAGTTTTTACAATTGAATGAAAGTAAAACACATTTAAACAAAGCATTTTGAGTCTAACGAAAGTTAAACACATTTAAACAAATCTTTTTGAATTAAATGAAAGTCAAACACATTCAAACAAATCATTTTGAATCAAATGAAAGTCAAACACATTCAAACAAACTTTTTAAATGAAATGAAAGTTAAACACATTCAAACAAAGCTTTTTGAATCAATTAAAAGTCAAACACATTCAAACAAAGCTCTTTGAATCAAATGAAAGTTAAACCCTTTCAAAACAAAGCTTATTGAATCAAATGAAAAGTCAAACAAATTCGAACAAATCTTTTTAAATCAAATAAATTTCAAACACATTCAAACAAAGCTGTTTAAATCAAATGAAAGTGAAACACATTCAAATAAAACTTTTTAAATCAAATGAAAGTTAAACACATTCAAACAAACCTTTTTTAATCAAATGAAAGTCAAATACATTACAACAAAGCATTTATAATCAAATGAAAATGAAACATATTCAAACAAATGTTTTTTATTCAAATGGATCAAACGCATTCAGACAAAGTTTTTTTAATAAAATGAAAGTGAAACACATTCAAACAAAGCTCTTTGAATTAAATGAAAGTAAAACCTATTCAAAATAAACTTTTTGAATCAAATGAAAGTCAAACACATTCAAATAAAGCATTTTGAATCAAATGAAAGTCAAATGCGTTCAACGAACCAATTGAATCAAATGAAAGTCAAACACATTCAAACAAAGGTTTTTAAATAAATTGAAAGTCAAACACAATAAAACAAAGTTTTTTAAATCAAATGAATGTTAAATACATTTTAACAAGCTTTTTGAATATAATTAAAGTCAAACACATTCAAAAAAAGGTTTTTAAATCAAATGATAGTCAAACATATTCAACCAAAGCTTTTTGAATCAAATGAATCAAACACATTCAAACAAAGATTTTTGAATCAAATGGAAGTTAAACACATTTAAACAAAGCTTTTTTAATCGAATAAAAGTCAAATGCATTCAACGAAACTAATTGAATCAAACGAAAGTCAAACACATTCAAACAAAGCTTTTTAAATTAAATGAAGTTCGAACACATTCAAACAAAGCGCTTTGAATCAAATAAAAGTTAATCATATTCAAACAAATATTTTTTAATCGAATGTAAGTAAAACATATTCAAACAAAGCTTTTTTAGTCAAACACATTTAAACAAAGCATATTGAATAAATTGGATTGAAATGCATTCAACAAAGCTAACTAAACAAAATGAAAGTTAAACACATTCTAATAAAGCTTTTACAATTGAATGAAAGTAAAACACATTTAAAACAAAGCTTTTTGAATCAAATTAAAGTCAAACACATTTAAACAAATCTTTTTAAATTTAATGAAGTCAAACACATTCAAACAAATATTTTTGAATCAAATAAAAGTCAAACACATTCAAACGAAGCTTTTTAAATCACATGAAAGTTAAACACATTCAAACAAAGCTTTTAGAATCAAATGAAAGTCAAACATATTCAAACAAAGCTTTTTGAATCAAATGAAAGTTATACACATTCAAACAAAGCATTTTGAATTGATTGAAAGTCAAATGCATTCAATGAAGCGGATTGAATCAAATGAAAGTCAAACACATTTTAACGAAGATTTTTGAATCAAATGAAAGTCAAATACATTCAAACAAAGCTTTTTGAATCGATTGAAAGTCAAATGCATTCAACGAACTAATTGAATCAAATGAAAGAGAAACCCATTCAAACAAAGCTTTTTGAATCAAATGAAAGTCAAACACATTCAAACAAAGCTTTATGAATTAAATGAAATTCGAGCACATTCAAACAAAGCGCTTTGAATCAAATAAAAGTCAATCATATTCAAACAAATCCTTTTGAATCGAATGAAAGTAAAACACATTCAAACAAAGCTTTTTGAATCGAATGAAAGTCAAACACATTCAAATAAAGCTTCTTGAATCAAATGAATCTTAAAAGCATTCAAACAAAGCTTTTTGAATCAAATGAAAGTTAAACATATTCAAACAAAGCTTTTTCAATCAAATGAAAGTTAAACACATTTAAACAAAGATTTTTGAATCAAATGAAAGTCAAACGCATTCAAACAAAGTTTTTTGAATTAAATAAATGTCAATCACATTCAAACAAACCTTTTTGTATCAAATGAAACATAAACACATTCAAAAAAAATCTTTTTGAATTGAATGAAAGACATACGCATTTAAACAAAGCATTTTAAATAAAATGAAAGTCAAACATATTCACACAAAAGCTTTTTGAATTAAATGAAAGTCAAAGAAAATCCAACAAAGCTTTTCGAGTCAAATTAAAGTGAAATGCGTTCAAAAAATATAACTAAATCAAATGAAAGTCAAACACATTAAAAAAATTTTGTTTGATTCAAAAGAAAGTTAAACACATTCAAATAAAGCTTTTACAATTGAATGAATGTAAAACAAATTTAAACAAAGCTTTTTAGATCAAATGAAAGTCAAACACATCCAAACAAATCATTTTAAATTAAATGAAAGTCAAACACATTCAAACAAATATTTTTGAATCTAATGAAAGTCCAAACACATTCAAACGAAACTTTTTAAATGAAATGAAAGTTAAACACATTCAAACAAACCTTTTTGAATCAAATGAAAGTCAAACACATTCAAACAAAGCTCTTTGAATCAAATGAAAGTCAAACCCTTTCAAAACAAAGCTTATTGAATCAAATGAAAAGTCAAACAAATTCAAACAAATATTTTTAAATCAAATAAATTTCAAACACATTCAAACAAAGCTTTTTAAATTAAATGAAAGTGAAACACATTCAAATAAAGCTTTTTAAATCAAATGAAAGTCAAACACATTCTAACAAAGCATATTTAATAAAATGAAAATAAAACACATTCAAACAAAGCTTTTTGAATCAAATGAAAGTCAAACACATTCTAACAAAGCTTTTTGAATCGAATGAAAGTCAAAGACATTCAAAAAAGCTTCTTGACTCGAATGAAAGTCAAATGCATTTAACGGACTAATTGAGTCTAATAAAAGTCAAACCCATTTAAAATAATCTTTTTGAATCAAAAGAAAAATAAACAAATCCAATCAAATCATTTCTAATCAAATAAAAAGTTAAACACATTCAAAAAAAGCTT